CCAAAGTGTTGGGATTACAGGCGTGAGCCACCGTGCCCGGCCAGAATGTCCATCTTTCTAACAACATTTGTAAAAGAGTATTTTTCCTCCATTAAACCATTCCTACTCCATTGTCAAAAATCAGTTAGGCATATTTGTGTGGCTCTGTTTCTGGGTTTGCTATTCTTGTCCATTGATTGTCTTGATTACTGTGGCTATATAATAAGGCTTGAAATCTCATTTTATTCTTTTCCAAAATTGTTTTTGCTATTCTTGCACCTCTGACTTTCCATATTAATATTAGAATAAATCTGTCCGTATCTACAAAATACTTTCTGGGATTTTGATAGGAATTACAGTCCAATTATAGATTAATTTGAGGAGAATTGACTTCTTTACTATATTGAGTCTTCCAATCTATGAACACATGGTGTGTCTCTCCATTTATTTAGGTCATCTTTCTTTCCTTTTTTTTTTCTTTTTTTTGTTTTTTTGAGATGGAGTCTCATTCTGTCACCCAGGCTGGAGTGCAGTGGCACGATCTCGGCTCACTGCAACCTCCACCTCCTGGGTTTAAGCGATTCTCCTCCCTTAGTCTTCCAAATAGCTGGGAGTACAGGTGGCCACCACCACGCCCGGCTAATTTTTGTATTTTTAGTAGAGACAGGGTTTCACTATGTTGGCCAGGATGGTCTTGATCTCCTGACCTTGTGATCCGCCCACCTTAGCCTCCCAAAGTGCTGGGATTACAGGTGTGAGCCGCCACGCTGGGCCTATTTTCTTTTTCATTATCATTTCTGTAATCTTCAACATATAGATCCTGCATATATTTTGTGAAGTTTATACCTAAGTATTAGATTTTCTTTGGAGTGACTGTAAATGGTATCCTGTTTTTAATTTTGCTATTCACGTGTTCATTACTAATGAATGATTTTTGCATGCTGATTTTGTATCCTGTGACCTTGCTGAATTAACTTATTAGTTCCAAGAAGTTTGTTTGTTTTTGTAGATTTCTTGGGATTTTCTATGTACATAATCACTTTATTTGCAAATAAGGGCAGTTTTGTTTATTTAGTTTTTCCCATTCTGTACAACCTTCCTTCCTTCCTTCCTTCCTTCCTTCCTTCCTTCCTTCCTTCCTTCCTTCCGTCCCTCCCTCCTTCCCTCCTTCTCTTCTCTCCTCTCCTCTCCTCTCCTCTCCTCTCCTCTCCTCTCCTCTCCTCTCCTCTCCTCTTCTCCTGTCTTCTTTATTGCAGTGGCTAGGACTTTCAGTTCTGTGTTAAACAAGAGCAGTGAGAGGGGACATTTTTCCCTGGTTCCCAGTCTGAGGAGGAAAGCATTCGGTCTTTCGCTGTTAAGTAAGATATTAGCTGTAGTTTTATTGTTAAACATAATGCTTGTAATCAAATTGAGATAGTTCTCTATTCCTAGTTTGCTGTGGTTTTTTATGATGAATGAGAGTTGGGTTTTGTCAGATGCTTTCTCTGCATCAGTCGATGTAATTGTATGATCTTTCTTCTTTGGCCTGTTGATATATTGGATTACACTGATTGATTTTCAAATGTTGAACCAGTCTTGCATAATTATTTTTACACATTGTTGGATTCAATTTGCTAACACTTTGTTGAAGACTTTTGTATCTAAATTCATAAGAAATATTGCTCTGTAGTTTTCTTTTATGTCTGGTTTTTGTATCAGGATAATACTAGCCTCACAAAATGAGTTGGGAAGTGCTTGCTCCTGTTCTGTTTTCTAGAAGAGATTGTGTAAAGAAATCTTACATTTTAAGAAAATGTTGGCAACTAATTTCAATTATTATTAAGCACTCTGTGGGCCAAACAAATGTGCCTGCTGGCTGGGGTTGGCTCCGGGCACGTCTCCCAGTAATTTCCACTTAAAGGAATGTTCTGTCTTGTGTTTTAGAGTTGAGAAGGGCACAGCTATCGGGTGAGTGCCCTCAATGTGCAGAGTATGGGCCACTAGACATATTTTGGCCTTTAGTCCTGCTCATTAACAAACCAAGCAGTGCAGGTTCAACCCCTTCTTTGGGGTCTTATGGATTCTTTTGAACCCCAAGCCCCCTGCAGGCCCCACTACTGGCTACAAACAAGATAGAGCAGTGGGCAGGGGGTGGGATGGGGGGGGGCAGGAGGTGTGTGATTTTGTGCTTCGGGGGACATTTAGCAATATCTCACGACAGTTTTTGTTGTCACAACTCAGAGATAGAGTGCTACTGGCATCTGGTAGGTAGAGGTCAGTGTTGCTGCAGAGTATTCTACAATGCACAGAACATTCCCCCACAATAAAGAATTATCCAGCACAAAATGTCAAGAGTGCTGAGGTTGAGAAACCCTAGAATACAGGAATATTTGACTTAAACTGCTTTAACAGAACGCCTAGGGGAGGTGGGTAAACTTCTTTAACCTGCAATGAATTTCTACCTGAATATAGGCAACATTGAAAATGGGTTACATTTTTCTCCTCATTACTTTCATGAAACCTCACTGTCCAGAATTGAATGTACACTGTTTACTTAGGATAAACTCATTAGAAACGGAATTGCAGTGTCAAACGAAGGAATAGTACTTTCAAAAGGCTCTTGCTGTATACATTGTCAAAATGCCTTCCAAAACAGTGATGTCAACTTCTCCCACCAGGACATGAGAGCCTGTGTCACTGCATCCTTGCAGGTGATGGATGTTTTAATGCTTCAGATCTTTACTAATTAGAAAGGTAAAAGTACTGGTGTGGGGGTTCAATACCCGCATCCCACTCCACCTGTCCCTCATTTCTCACCTCCTACCAGCTCCTGACTCCATCTCCCCTCCTCAGTCTTCATTCTGCTTGAGTGAGCAGATGTTTTCCTAGCTCTGCAAGTTTTCACTTCTCCAGCCTCAGCCCGACATGACCCTGTTTGGCGGAGGTTTGGGTCATGTCTGGCTGAGGTTGGAGAAGTGGGGTGGCCTTTAGGATTCCAGGACCAGATGAGGGTCTGCCTTTGGTAGAGAAACAAGTAGGAATGAAGCGTGGGTGTGTCTGGCTACGAGACTCAGGGCTCTCTCAGGGAACTGGGGCTCCAGACCTATCTGTACCTGGTGACCCACAGCCATCCCAAGTCCCTCCAACCCAAACTCAGCTTCTGCCCCCGTAATGCTCATCGTCCTGTGATCCCCCTCTTGGGTACCATGATCCACCCGGCCATCTAAGACAGAAATCTGGGGGTCATCCCTGACTCCATCTACTTCCACCCCCACATCTGATAAGTCACCCTATGTTTAATTAATTAATTGATGAATGGCCTGGCCATTTAGCCTTCCAAATTTCTGGCTAATTAGAACTTTTTTTAAAGTTGTAAGAGATAAAAGACTATCTTCAGTGACCATAAGCAGAAAAAGGGATTCTTGGCTTATAGAATTGAGAAGCCCACAGAGAGGTTCTGGCTGCAATAGTGGCTGAGTCCAGAGATTCAAAACATGGCTCTGGGGATCCCTCTCACTGGGTCGTGCTCTACTTTCCTTTGTGATTCCCTAGTGTCCAGGGAGGTGCCCCCAGCCTGGTGGAAAAGATGCCCTTGGCAGGTCCAGCCTTCCATGCTTCTTCCAGCCAATGGTCCAGCCTTCTCTTTTTTATTGAGACAGAGTCTCACTCTGTCACCTAGGCTGGAGTGCAGTGGTGTGATCTTGGCTCACTGCAACCTCCACCTCCCGGGTTCAGGCGATTCTCCTGCCTCAACCTCCCGAGTAGCTGGGATTACAGATGCATGCCGCCATGCCCAGATAATTTTTGTATTATTATTATTTTTCTTTAGCAGAGATGGGCGTTCACTATGTTGGCCAGGCTGGCCTTGAACTCCTGACCTCAGGTGATCCGCCTGCCTTGGCCTCCCAAAGTGCTGGGATTACAGGCATGAGCCACCGCGCCCGGCCTCAGCCTCCTGATCAGCTCCCATAAGGAATCTGAGTGACCTTGATTGTGTCATGTGCCCTCTCTGAAGTCAATCACTGTGCCCAGAATATGGGGCACTCTGATAGCCACGTGAGTCATACACTCGCCCCAATAGGGCCAAGGTGGGCCCAGCTCTATACCAGCCGCTTCAATATCCCTTGGAGCAGTTTCTCAAAGGACATAAAGGCAGCACATATCCATGAAATGATCTTTTCTAACAGTTTTTCTCCTCCCCATCCCTGCTGTCACAACCCTACCCTGTCACACCTGGATCACTGTGAACACCTCCAAACTGCTATCTCTGCCCCAGCGGGCACACTCCTCATCGCACCCAGGCCCCTAGCCCCTCAGGAGACTCTGACTATGAGTGCACTTGGAGGTCCCTGAATCCTGCTTGCTAGGGAATGTTTGGAAGGAAAGATGCAAGTCTGAAGAAACCTCCTGTTCACAGATTAAGGACCAGGCACTGAGGAGCAGCTGTGTCACCAGAGCAAAGGGTGAGGGACAGGCCTGCCCAGTCCTGGCCCTGTGTACTTCATACACCCTCGGGCTCCTGGTTCCTCCTCTCTCTCTGTTGTCTCATTTCTGGGACGCCATGGGCAGCGTGGGAGCATGCCTCCTGGGTTTGGCCTGGGATATGTTCTGCGATGCTGAATAAGGCTTATGTTGCCAGCAGAATGGCCAGGCGTGGTGGCTCACGCCTGTAATCCCAGCACTCTGGGAGACCGAGGTGAGTGATCACCTGAGGTCAGGAGTTTGAAATCTTCCTGGTCAACATGGTGAAACCCCATCTCTACTAAAAATACAAAAATTAGCCGGGCATGGTGGCATGCACCTGTAATCCCAGCAACTCGGGAGGCTGAGATAGGAGAATCGCTTGAACCTGGCAGGCACAGTTTGCAGTGAGCTGAGATTACACCACTGCACTCCAGCCTGGGCAACACAGCAAGATTGTGTCTCAAAAAACCAACAAAACAACAACAACAACAACAAAACCCCACGAAAACAGCAAAGATTGTCCATCTGGTCCTGTTCCCTGTGACCTGTCCTAACGGTGAGATCCCTTTGCATTTCAGCAGGAGGACGCCGGCTTGCATAACGTCATCCTGTGGCCTCCAAACCCTGAGCCCCCACAGGTACTGGGGAATGTGCTGTTCTGCATGGCTTCCCTCTCAAGCCCCTTCCTAACGTCTAGATGGTTGCAAACATTTGGTGTGGCATGTGCATTTATATATTTAGGTTTTCTCCTCCTCCCTCTTCCATGGCTTCTTCCATCCACCCCAAATAAGTTGTAAAACACAGTCGAAACCGACAGTTTATGTTTAGATTTTTTAGGATAGTATTTTAGTGTGCCTGTCCAAGAACTGGCTTGGTTGATACGTTCCACGGTGCTGAATAAGGCTTATGTTGCCAGCAGAAAGGAACGCAGATGCTGGGAGCCAATACTAACCCCTCCGAACTCTTCTACTTTGATATGATTTGCCGCAAGGGAAGCTGGGGATGGGGTGGGGACCCCACCTTTGCCGCCTGTGAGCAAAACCAATTCGTTGTAAAAGAAGATTAAATTCTGAATCAGCTGTCAGTATCATGCAACAATGTGCTAGCTGAGTTCCGCTGCTGTAGCTCTGCCCAAAGTGTTTGCCATCCATTGGGGAAGACGGTAAATAAGGAACTTTGCGTCATCTCACAGTGCTTTTTCCTGGAGAGGACCTTGAGATTAGTGTGTGTTTATGGGTGTGGTCAGGGTGAGGCTGTAAAACCCCTGGCTCCTCACTGGCCTGCTCTGAAGGCAGGCGTGGCAATCATCCAGGTGAAGTGGTCCTTTAAAAAAGAGCGGGTTGGGTGCGGTGGCTCATGCCTGTAATCCCAGCACTTTGGGAGGGCAAGGCGGGCAGATCACTTGAGGTCAGGAGTTCAAGACCAGTCTGACCAACATGGTGAAAATACAAAAATTACCCAGGCGTGGTGGCACACACCTGTAATCCCAGCTACTCAGGAGGCTGAGGCAGGAGAAGTGCTTGAATCCGGGAAGCAGAGATTGTAGTCAGCCGAGATCACGCCACTGCACTCCAGTCTTGGTGACAGAGTGAGACTCTCTCAAAAGAAAGAGAAAAAAAAAAAAAAAAGCTGCTCTCCCTGGGAGGATGGCTGTCAGGTGGGTGCACCCGATGCATTTGTTTCTCTGCAGATCCCAGCAAGCAGTGATGTTTCAGGTTGTGAAATAACCATTTGCATAAAGCATTGTGAAACCTTTTCATACGTGTGAGTTCATCTGCTTCTCCTCATTATCCCATGATCTGGGCTGATGACTCGTGTTTTATAGACTCAGAAAGAGCCTCGGAAGGTTAATCATCCCGGGTCATTTGGGTGAGTGGAGGAGTGAGAATTGGAACTCTGGGTCACTCAGGCTGCTGGGCCAGTGGTTTTCTTTCTTTCTTTTTTTTTTGAGATGGAGTCTCGCTCTGCCGCCCAGGCTGGAGTGCAGTGGCCGGATCTCAGCTCACTGCAAGCTCCGCTTCCCGGGTTCACGCCATTCTCCTGCCTCAGCCTCCTGAGTAGTTGGGACTACAGGCGCCCGCCACCGCGCCCGGCTAGTTTTTTGTATTTTTTAGTAGAGACGGGGTTTCACCGTGTTAGTCAGGATGGTCTCGATCTCCTGACCTCGTGATCCACCCGTCTCGGCCTCCCAAAGTGCTGGGATTACAGGCTTGAGCCACCGCGCCCGGCCTGGGCCAGTGGTTTTCAAACTGGGTTCTGGGAAATCCTGGAGCCAACAGCAATGCTTCCTGGACCGGCCGAGGACAAAGAGGAAGTGGAGAGGGGAGAATCCAGCTTCCTGCCCCCCACCCTTCCACCAGCGCAACTTACCCTATATGGCCTTATAATGCAAGATAGCTCTTAGAAGAAAATGTTTTGGGGCCGGGCGCAGTGGCTCATGCCTATAATCCCAGCACTTTGGGAGGCCGAGGTGGGCGGATCACGGGGTCAGGAGTTTGAGACCAGCCTGACCAACATGGTGAAACCCCGTCTTTACTAAACATATAAAAATTAGCCGGGCGTGGTGGCGCATGCCTGTAATCCCAGCTACACAGGAGGCTGAGGCAGGAGAATTGCTTGAACCTGGGAGGCAGAGGTTGCAGTGAGCCGAGATCACGCCACTGCACTCCAGCCTGGGCGACAGAGCGAGACTCCGTCTCAAAAAAAAAAAAAAAAACAAAAAAAAACGCTTTGGAATCAGAGTTGGAAAGAAACACTAATCTGGTCCACCTCCATTATTTTTCAGTTTTGTGCATGGTGGATCCAAAGGACAAGGCACTTACTCACTGCCATAAATCAGTGGCAGGTTGGAGACCAGAAGCCATCTTGGGGGATCCTAGTCCAGGCTCCCACGGGTGTCCCTGTTAGGGGAAGAGCATTTTGTCCAGCTCCATCTCACAGAGGTCTTCCATAGCGCTTTGCAGCAGAGCTCAAGAGCTCAGTCACAAGCTCCTACGTCGTGATGTGATGTGGATATGGTTTTTCATTGGCTTGGTGGACATTTGGGAAGCCCCTTCCTGCTGGGCAGCTGGTACTTATTCAGGTGCTGTGATCTCTAGAGAAGCAAGCCAAACAAGGGCCCTACTCTCTGGAACTTACAGCCAATCGAGGAGTCAGATAAGCAAGTGAATAAACAGACATCAGTGAATACATTTGAGACTTTACTGCATACATATTGTTTACCAGGCATTGCTCTAGCACTTGAGAATCAGCAGTGAACAATTCGGCTGTGATCTGCTCGAATGAAGCTTCCTTATGAGGCACTAATAGGCAAAAAACGCATCATAAAATTTCCAATGGTAACCACGGTCAGGGGGCTATTTATTTATTATTATTGCAGTAAAATATATATAACATAAGATTTACCATTGTAACCATTTTTAAGTGGACAATTCAGTGGAATTAAGTACATTGCAGTGCAACCATCACCACCATCCATCTCCAGAACTTTTTCATCTTCCCAAACTGAAACTCTGTGCCCACATTCTCCCTCTCCCCAACCCTTGAGAACCTTTCTTTCCTCCTTTCCTTCCTTTCCTCCTTCCCTCCTTCCCTCCTTCCTTCCTTCTGACCGGGTCTTATTCTTTCGCCGAGGATGGAGTGCAGTAGTGCAATCATAGTTCACTGCAACCTCCAATTCCTGGGCTCAATCAGTCCTCCCTCCTCAGCCTCCCTAGTAGCTAGAATTATAGGCATGCGTTACTGCAGCTGGCTACTTTGTCTCTGTGAATTAAACTACCGTAGGTACCTCATGTAAGTGGAATCATATAGTATTTGTATGTGATTATTATTTCACTTTTGCGACTGGTTTATTTCACTAAGCATAATGTCCTCAAGGTTCACCCATGTTGCTGCATGTCACAATTTCCTTTCTCTATAAGGCCGAATGATATTCCATTGTATGTATAGAACACATTTTGCAAATCCATTTTTTTTTTTTGGAGACAGAGTCTCACTTTGTCGCCCAGGCTGGAGTGCAGTGGCTGAGATCTCAGCTCACTGCAACCTCCACCTCCCAAGTTCAAGTGATTCTCATGCCTCAGCCTCCCGAGTAGCTGGGATTACAGGCGTGTACCACCACACCCAGCTAATTTTTGTATTTTTAGTAGATGGACGCTTGGATTGCTTCCACCTTTTGACTGTTGTGAATAATGCTGTGATGAATATGGGTGTCCATGTACGTATCTGAGGCTCTGCTTTCTATTCTTTCGGGTATATACCTAGAAGTGGAATTGCTAGATCAGACGATAATTCCATGTTTAAGTTTTTGAGGAACCACTAAACTTTTCTACAGCAGTTGCACCATTTTACGTTTCCACTAGCAATGTACGAATGTTCCGGTTTCTCTACATCGTCTTCAACACTTGTTACTTTGTGTTGTTGTTGTTTTTAAATTATAGTCATGTTCGTGGGTGTGAAGTAGTATGTCGTTGTGGTTGGGCTATTTTTGATGCAGTGCAGGGGACAGCTCTCTGTAGACACCTGGTGTACTGAGAAGGAGACAGCCACATAAGGTTTTGTAAAAGGAACATTGTGGAATAAGGTAACAGGTGTGTATAGTATAGGAATAGTGTAACAGGTGTGGGAGGAATGAGCTTGCTGTACTTTAAGATCAGCAAAGAAGGCCAGAGTGGCTGGAGAAAAGTGGATGAGGCAAATTATGGTGAGCTGTGCAGCCAGGGAAGTGGCTCATTTTTGTAGGTCCCGAGCAGCCCTGTTAAGGAGTCTGGCTTTCTTCTACCTGTGGTACAAAGCCATGGTGAAAAAAGAGCATTTCACTGGGATTTGAGCCTGTGTGCTCACTCACCGTGGGGGTGAGACCCCAGCAGTCAGGGCTCCCTAAGGAGGAAGCAGAGCAGCTGATGGTGAACTTGTACCCAGCTCCGTCTGGGTTCAGCAGACTTGAGACTCAGCACTCAGTCTGGCTGAGCTCCTCAAACCGGCCAATTGGAAACTGACAAGTGAAGGACTGGTTAAAACCAACCAGCCACATTTCCTTCCAAACCTCTCTGGCTTTTGCTTTGTTGAGTCCCAGTGGCTAGTTCAGGGAGATGGTCTCTGAGCTGCAGTCCCTCATGTATACCCATCTGTGTGAGTAAATCTCCTCTGCTTCAAGCTCAGGGTCTTGGGTTATTCTTTGCAGTTCAACAGTCACGGTGCCTGACTCTCTTATACACCAAAATCAAGGGGCTGAGCCCCTCAGCTGTGTTTGGCTCATTATTCTGGATGGGGCTGAGGTCCGGGGATAATAGAGAGCAAGAAGCCTGGGCGGCCAGGCTCCCAGGTGAGGCTTTTTGTAGGTTTTTGTGGTTTCTTGTTTGTTTTTGTAGGAGATACCTAGGAAGGTAAAAGGAGTGCACTCAGTAGCGTTGTAACCAAACCAAAGCTTCAGTCACTCACCACTTGTAGAGTCCAATTAACAAGAGCTACAGGAGTTTGAGACTAGCCTGTGCAACATGGCGAGACCCCTGTCTCTACTAAAAATACAAAAAATTAGCAGGGTGTGGTGGTGTGCACCTGTGGTCCCAGCTATTCAGGAGGCTGAGGTGGGAGGATCACTTCAGCCCTTGGGGGAGAGGGGGCAGAGGTTGCAGTGAGCCAAGATGGCGCCTCTGCACTCCAGCCTGGGTGACAGAGTGAGACCCTGTCTCTAAAAACAAATAAACACACAAACCAAAAAACAAGAGTGAGGACTGACATGAAAAAGTGACTTTTTATTCCAAAGCTTAGCTTAGGGGAAAAAGTACAGGCTTCTCTTTTTGAGGGCACTGCTTTGGTTTTGGGGCAGAAAGCAGGGACTTTTAAAGGGGGGACTTTGCATGCACAGCAGGCGGGCAGGGAGTGAGCAGGTGGGGGACCACTGGGCTCACTTCAGTGCCTTATCCACCAGGCGGTCCAGCTGGCCCAAAACTAGGTTCTAAGGTGGTCATTGTCTTGAGATGCTCTCCAGGTGGGAAAGAGTTCCGTCGTGGGCGTACTTGAGGTTGGAAATTGACAGCTGTCTCTTGAGGCAATTTCCTGGTGGGAGAGCTTTCTGGCTCTGGAGCTTCTAAGTGAGCACATAGTCAGATAAGCTTGTCCTGTAGGGAGTGTCTGGTGAAGGGAAGGTCAAGGCTATAAGGTTATAATTGCATTTCTAAAGAGCTACGTAGGAAGTGAGGAACATGAGAAAAGGAGAGAGAAAAGAAGAAGAAATAATAATTAAAACCATTTTCTTTCTCTTAGAAAAATGGGGTACTCGGTTACAGCATCATAGCATTAAGGGACATTGAGTTTTGCAGGTGGCGGGATGTGAAATGGCTTAGAAAGAACACGGGGGAGTGCACAAGGTTCCTGACTCTATTTTGTGTTTTTTGCTTTTTTTCTGTTTTGTTTTGAGACAGAGTCTCACTATGTCAGCCAGGCTGGAGTGCAGTGGTGCAATCTTGGCTCGCTGCAACCTCTGCCTCCTGGGTTCAAGTGATTCTCCTGCCTCAGCCTCTGGAGTAACTGGGATTACAGGCACGTGCCACCACGCCTGGCTAATTTTTGTATTTTTTAGTAGAGATGGGGCTTCACCATGTTGGCCATGCTGGTCTCGAACTCCTGACCTGAGGTAATCCACTCACCTTGGCCTCCCAAAGTACTGGGATTACAGGTGTGAGCCACCGTGCCTGACCTCCTGATTCTATTTTGAAGCCATGATCTTCTGGGCTTGTGGAAGGAAAATCAGCCTCCCCTTGATAGGGTCGGAACCTGGTAGGTTCTCAGAGGACAGCTGGCGTGGGAAAGGTGGGAAGGTTAAGGGTCTGTTCTGTGATGATCCTGGGATATAAGGGTTCAGGCTGCTGATCTGAGTGCAGAAAAAGGTGTGGGAATTGGAAGGTGGGGGTGGAGACAAGGTCAGATGAGGCAGCAGGGTCTGTGGCGGCCTGAGATGTGGTGTTGGGGGACAACAAGTGCCTGGGAGGACTGGGCCTTCAGGAAGATGAGGGAGGCAGGGAGGTAGGCACAACAGGATGTCTCCTCGGAGCCTCTAGGCAGTGAGCCGGCAGTTTATTTCAACAATATTTGCTTTTGATACTTTTTGACAACAATTAATTGTTGCATTAATTACAAACTGATTTATCTTATTCAAGAAGTCCGTTTTAATAACATCACTATAGTCTTACCTTCATATCCTGTGATGTCTTGTTTTGTCAGCACAAATGCTATTGAAACTCTGAATTTTAGTGGTAGGTTTGGGTTCTGTTCTCTGTTCCTGAGGGAAGAGAAGCCATTGACAGAGGAAAATTGCCACACTCAGCCTGAAACCTGTTCTATCCGCTAATCGGAGGTTCCTCTTACTGAGCTGGGGCCATGGAGCCTCAGCCCGGCCCCCTTGTGGGTGCCTTTTGCAGCAAGCTGAGTCCTAGTTTTTACTCTTGCTCCTTCCTTTGGGAATGGACTCACTTAGGCCTCTTGGAGGCTGTTCTCAGGAGGCTCCAAGCAGCCTCCGTTACTAAAGTACACTTGCACAAGTGAGATATTGCACCACCTGGTGGTTGGAAATGAAGAGAAAGCCATATGTATAACCACAGCTCTAAAGGGTGACTCGTTTGGGGAGTGGGAGGACACGGTCCAATGGGAAGTTGGGGGGAATGTCTAACAGCCAAGAGGAGCATCACCTGTCCCTGAGAGTGTCAGGGTCCTGGCTTATGTGTGTCCCTCTCCGGGAAAGAGGTGGTGGCGATGCTGTGATGAGAGCTGTCTCCACTTGACAGCCCTTCCGGGGGTTTCATGCATCATGACTTGTGTAGAAAGCTCTATGGTGAAATAAGGGCCATGCCAGCCCACAGCCCCAAATGCTGAAGGTGGGCTTCACAGTTGTTCAGTTCTGGAGAGCCCTACAGGGGACACCCAGGCTCCAAGCTCCACACATGTGGATTTCAGAAGGGAAGGGCAACACTAACCCCTGCATTACCACTTTCTGGAGTTGCCCTTGGCCGTGCGACTGTCATGATTCCCATCTATGGCTCTGACCATGTGGGGAGGAAGAAAAGACATTCAATCCTATCATTAGAATGATCTGACTTGAAAACATATCATCATTCAGTAACTCCATTCTAACACTTCTGTTGTCTGGGTGTTTCTGTAGTAAGTCCCAAAAAACATAATTTTCAACTCCAGAAACTGTGATCAATGCTATGAAGCAAGAAGACAGGTGCACAGACCCCAGACCTAGCCTGGGTGTCAGGGAAGGCACTCCTGGGGATCTGATGTTTGAGCTCAGAGCTGCAGATGAGCAGGAAGTAGGCGACATCAGAAGGACCTAGAGCCAGCTCAGCAGGCACGCCTCCCCCAGCGTGGGCAGGTCTCCCCCGGTCGGGTCCCTGCTCTGTGTACAAGATATGGCCCGGATGAAGTTTGCTCCTGAAGGAGACCTCAGCACTGTGGACATCTGAGGAACAGAGGACTGGGAGGACAGGAGAATCTGTGTATGCGAGCCGTCCCCAGGGTCTGGTCATCAAGAAAGGCTGAGGTTGTCTGTTGCTCAGGCCTTGTGTGGTTATTGTTACTTTGCTTGACAGAGGAAAGTGCCATATATATGTGCACATCTTGTTTAAAGCTATGCTTGGTGCTCTAAGGTTAACTTGAAGGTTCCTTCTTTAGCTCTTGAGGAACTCAAGGAACTCAGCATTACAGCAGCATCAGCCAGTGCAGGACAGGCAGCATTTCCCGATACTCCACAGGCTGCAGGTGGGCATCTGGGCTGCTTTAACTGTGTTTAATGTGAAAGAAGTTGAGCAAAGAGCAAATTAAGCAGCAAGAATTAATTCAATCTTCATGACAGCAGAGTTTCCTTTCTTTCTTTCTTTCTTTCTTTCTTTCTTTCTTTCTTTCTTTCTTTCTTTCTTTCTTTCTTTCTTTCTTTCTTTCTTTCTTTCTTTCTTTTTTTTTTTTTTTTTTTGTAATGAGATGGAGTCCTGCTCTGTCGCCCAGGCTGGAGTGCAATGGTGCGATCTTGGCTCACTGCAACCTCTGCCTCCTGGGTTCAAGCAATTCTTCTGTTTCAGCCTCCTGAGTAGCTGGGATTACAGGCGCACGCCACCACCCCTGGCTAATTTTTTGTATTTTAGTGGAGACAGGGTTTCACCATGTTGCCCTGAGCTCAGTCTCAAACTCCTGAGTTCAGGCAATCCGCCCACCTTGGCCTCCCAAAGTGCTAGGATTCCAGGTGTGAGCCCCAGCACCCGGCCTTGACAGCAGAAAGTTTCTTTACTGTCACCTGTCTGCTCCCACAGCTCCTGCTGTGGTGTTCCCCGAGCCCGGAGGGTTGGCGCTAGTTTTCACTGGCATAATTACTCAGTGTGTAAATGGCAAGGTTCCAGGTTTTGGTCAGATGCATCTTCTGAATAAATGTGTAAAATGTTAATTGTGGGAGGAGCTGGGGAACTGAACTGCTGTTCTTTTTTTTTCTTCTTTTTGAGACAGAGTCTCACTCTGTCGCCCAGGCTGGAGTTCAGTGGCATAGTCTCAGCTCACTGCAACCTCTGCCTCCTGGGTTCAAGCGATTGTCCTGCCTCAGCCTCCCAGGTAGCTGGAATTACAGGTCCCTACCACCACACCCGGCTCATTTTTGTATTTTTAGTAGAGATGGGGTTTCACCATGTTGGCCAGGCTGGTCTCGAACTCCTGACCTCAAGTGATCCACTCGCCTCAGCCTTGCAAAGTGCTGGGATTACAGGCTTGAGCCACTGTGCCCAACCTGAACTTCTGATTAACTGCTTTTGCTTTAAGCTGAGATAGCCACTGGGGCTCTTCATGAATGAGTTTTGAATCTGTTTCTTCTTTATACAATAACAACCAGCATGTACAATGTCTATGATGGTCTAGCCTTGTCCTTTGTTTAACCTTCAGAACAACGCTGCAGTTATGACCCCCATTCTACAGATATGGTACTGGAGGTGTAGAACCCAAAGACTTACAGCTAAATAAGCAGTAAAGCTTGGGTTTCAGGACAATTGTACACAGCTTCCTGCCCGCTCATTCTTAAACTAAACTTCATGCTGCTCTAGCATGAAAATGAGTGGATACGGGGATTCTAGAGGGGCAAAAGAAGTAAGGTTTATGTCTGCACTGTAAGTATAATGAGGTAAACATCGCAGCACGGTATAGGCCATCCTGACATGCCCAGCTCTTTGAATAAAGAGACTCTCCCTTTTATTTGTACAGTTGTTGTTTACAAGGCATTCCTGTCACCCACTGAGGTAGGGAAGGGCAGAGATTGGGGTCCCGTTTGTTGACGGAGAGATAGAGAGGCTTGGAGAGAGGAACTGATCTGACCAAGGGCACATGGATTTGGGTTTTCTGACCTCATCCAATTCTCTTTAAATCATATTGTTTCTAAAATATTAAATACGTACAGGTCATCAATATTGGGTATGGTTTTGAAGCCTTTAGTCTGCCCCCTACAGACTAAAGACATCAGAACATGTCACCTCTTATATCTTTGAGGTTCCTGAGTCCTTTTAGGGTAATGGCCACTACTTGTGACCCAAATACTTCTGAGGAAGGGAAGGCAGATATTGTTTATTAAATATCACTCATTTATTCACTAAATGAAAAATTCCATGAGGGTAGTAGGAACCATGTCTCTCTTTTTATAATTAAACTTCTCTCTCTCCTCTTTCTTTTCTCTTTCTGTTGCCCAGACTGAAGTGCAGTGTGCATTCTTGGCTTACTGCAACTTTCACCTCCCAGGTTCAAGTGATTCTTGTGTTTCAGCCTCCTGAGTAGCTGGGATTACAGGTGCCTGCCACCATGCCTGGCTAATTTTTGTACTTTTAGTAGAGACGAGGTTTCGCCATGTTGGCCAGGCTGGTTTTGAACTCCTGACCTCAAGTGATCTGCCCGCCTCAGCTTCCCAAAGTGCTGGAGAGAGGCTTGGGGAGAGGAACTGATCTGACCAAGGGCACATGGATTTGGGTTTTCTGACCTCATCCAATTACAGGCATGAGCCACCGTGCCTGGCCAACTTTTTACTTTAGAATATTTTCAGATTTACAGAAAAGTTGCAAAGATTGTACGGAGAACTCCCATACAGATGCTTCCCCAGCTTCTCCTAAAGTTAACATTTTACACCATGCCTGTTTTAGTCATCAGTGTCTACCCAGAACCTAGACTCAGCCCTTACTATTCATGAGGAATAATCATCAAAACACCCGTCAAACTCTATTCTGTTGTTTTCCATCTTTTAAAGGAAGGGTGAGGACTCAAACCCAGCTCTCTCGGACTTCGAAGCTTATTCAGTTATTCTGCTCTATCATGATGTATCACATCAGAAAACATTCCGTTTGCGGAACGCTGAAATTCTACCCTGGCAGCCTTTCACTTGTTGGCCTGACAGAGTGCCTGCTAGGTTAGGCGGAGGTGTCCTCTGCAACCTGTATTCGTCAATCTTTTGTGCCCCCTTGGAGGTGAAGAAACATGTGGGATGATCTAGCAGAATTGGTGTGAGAATTTGCCTTCCCTTTACAGGGAAGATGGGCAGCCGGCTGGCTCTAGCACAGAGCATGTGTTCATCCTCCATATTTGGCCAGTCTGGCAGTTGTTTCTGAAATCTGATTCCTAATGCCATGGGGATGACCTTTGGTCTACTTCCCAGCATTCACCTGCAGTCAGGCTGCTCCCAAGGAGCTTGTTCAAAGAGGGGGCAACTTGGGCAGACACTGTGGTCATGATCTAACCATGTTAATTAAGCATGGTTTAATTAACTCTATTGGCATGACCAGTGGGCAGTGGTCTAGAGTGATGGAGCATTTAAGAGGTAAGTGGAATTTTTTTTTTTTTTTTTTGATGGCGAAATGCTTTAGCTCCTTACAAAGTATATTTTTTAGGACTGGAAAATTGCTGTAAATGTTTAAAGATTGCTTTAAAATAGACTCCAGGCTCTGGAGTGTTCCAGAGCCAACGAAAGACTGTTTGTTTACTCAAGCAATGGCAGCAAAGGAAAGATTTGAAGAAGCAACTGGGCAAGTCCACGTGTCCTGTAAGGCTTGCCAATTGTTTTTCCAGGCTGTGATTTGGAAGTGTAAAGAGTAACTTTAGAAATGCATGCTGTTTTGCAGTGATGCCTGCTGACACACAGGTCCTTTGGAATCCAGTAAGCAGTAGAGCTTAAGACTGTCTCTAAGATGGGGAACAGGAAGGGGGACTCAAACACACTAGGAAATGTGGCAAAAGAGAGAGCTCCCAGGGCTGAGGGTATGTCCTTCGATTTGCAGACGTGACCACCAGACTAAATAAGAATAATCTATTTTTCATACATTCAACAAATATTTATGGACTGCTTCTTCTGTGCCAGGTGCTATTCTGGGCATCAAATCTAGGCTCCTATACCACATTATTCTCAAATGTTCAATTGCTATAGTTCCTTGGAGTGTGGCAGCAAAATGGCAGTGACCATAAAGCAATGAATTCCACTGTATGGCGAAGCAGCATAAGGCAGGGACAAGAGCACAGACTCTGGAGCCAAACCATCCTGGTCCAAATCCTGGCTCCACCACTTCCAAGCTGTGTGACCTTGGGCAAGTGGCTTAACCTCTCTGTGCCCAGTATTCTTAGCTGTAACACCGGGCTCTAAGGATTGAATGAGTTTAAATATGTAAAACACTTAAAAGAGCAGTACTTGGCACATAGAAAGTGTTCATAATAATTAGGTTGCTGTTGTTGTAGCAGAAAGAGTGCTATGTAAATGTTGGGTGTCAGAATTCTTGTGGAAAGAGCATTGGACTTCAAGGTGGGAGACTTGCAGAGGGCAGAAGGCAAGCCTCTCTGTTTCTTATCTGGAAAATGGAAAACATGATTTCACCTGCCCAGTATAGCTCACGGGGATTTTGTAAGAATCAGATGGATGTCAAAGAGCTTTGAAAAGTGCAATGTGCCATTCACACAGAGTTTTGTCGCTTTTAACTCCATCCAGATATGTTTCTGTTGGGGAGAACTAGTGTCATTGTTGCAGATTAGCTTTCTATTAGAAAAAGAAGTGGGCTGGGCGCCGTGGCTCATGCCTGTAATCCCAGCACTTTGGGAGGCTGAAGCAGGTGGATCACGATGTCAGGAGATCGAGACCAGCTTGGCCAATATGGTGAAACCCCATCTCTACTAAAAATGCAAAAAAGTGGTGGCGGGCGCCTGTAATTTCAGCTACTTGGGAGGCTGAGGCAGGAGAATCCCCTTGAACCCGGGAGGCAGAGGTTGCAGTGAGCCAGGATCGCACCATTGCACTCCAGCCTGAGCGACAGAGTGAGACTCTGCCTCAAAAAAAAATAATAAAAATAATAATAAAATAATTTTTTTAAAAAAAGAAAGAGAAGTGGAGCTGAAAAGGGAGAGAGGCCTGCTTTTTTTTTTTCTTCTTCAAAGACAAATCCAAGCCCTTGTTATAGTCCGTCTGCCTGAGGAAATGCAGCCCGTGGTCCCTTTCTTCCCCGGACTCGGAGCAAAGATCTGTCTCCTTATGCCATCTGTTGTTTGCATCTGTCTGGGCTATTATTCGTCTTCTTTCCAGAATTACTTTAAAGAAATGTTGCTCATGGAATACTGGGCATGAGATTTATCTGTTAAATTATTTGCAGAATATTTTACTGTAGGTCATCTGGTGATTGAAAGGGGGGCCTGGCCTCAGGTGTTAGGAGCTGAGGTTTGCATGGCAGTCAGACAAGTAGGAATTGGGTTAAAATTTCAAAAATGCAGGACCCTGATTAAAAATGCCACCCACTCTGTATTGTTAATCTTGAGTTATTATATTAAAATGTGAGAATCATGCATCTAAAGGTTTATAATTTATAGATAAAGAGTCTTGGCTGGGTGCGGTGGCACCTGTAATTCCAGCACTTTGGGAGGCTGAGGTGGGCAGATCACAAGGTCAGGAGTTTGAGACCAGCCTGGTCAACATGGTGAAACCCCGTCTCTACTAAAAATACAAAAATTAGCCGGGTGTGGTGGTGGGCGCCTGTAGTCCCAGCTACTTGGGAGGCTGAGGCAGGAGAATCACTTGAATCCGGGAGGTGGAGGTTGCAGTGAGCCGAGATGGTGCCACTGCACTCCAGCCTGAGCAACAGAGCGAGACTCTGTCTCAAAAAAAAAAAAATAATAATAATAATCTTTCTCTGAAAATGAGGATTATAGTGTGAACTTATAAGGTGATTTAAAGTTTCCATGGTTTTGACATTGTCCTGTGGGGATGATTGTCTTCCTGGATGCACAGATCAAGAGGCTGGGGTCCCTGGGGCAGGGCAGGGGCACTCATTAAGGGAATGGCTCAGCCAGCAAGGAGGTCAAGCCAACCCTGGGTCAGCAGCCCCCTCTCGTGTGGGGAATCATCCCCAGCTCTCTCTGCCTCCTTCGACACCACCCCATGGAAGGGATCAAACGGAGACGCCCTGTCCTGGTTCTGGGATCAGAGATAATCGGTTATGTCTAGATTCCACTGCTGTGTGGTCTTGGCCCAGTTACTAAACCTCTCAAAGCCTCAGCTCTAAAACAGGGACACAAATATCCATCTTTCTCTTAAGACAGTTGTGCAAATTCAATGACATAGTTCATGGAAAGATACTGGCCCAGTGCCTGGCCTTAGTAAGTGCTCAGTAACAGGAACATTTATTGCTGTTGTTTTATTTCCCCCCACATTCTGTCTTTCAGCTAAAATGAAGGAACATTTTTGCATTGTAGTATTCACGTTAGCACTAGAATGTATGGGTGCCTGAGAGATGAAGCATCTTTATGTTTTACCTTTGGACACAATGGGATGAACACAGATAGCCAGCCACTCAGAGAAATGCACCAGGTAGGGGAACCCTAGCCAAAGCTAGCTTGCGCTTCGGGCTGGTGTCTGAAGGTCAAAGACTACAGCCCATCCAACAAGTCTGACGGTCTCAAGAAGTCCCCAGGTGCAGACTAGGCAGATGATTTGCTTTCACATATCCTGCAGAAATGCCAAGATTAATTTACAAAATCCATAGGCTAGAGGTTGGTAGAGTTTGATGGGTGCGGACCCTCCCTTCCTGGGGGACCTTGGGGGCTGTCTGCTTCACCTCCAGGCAGAAGCCATACCTACTATCCTCCTTGGGTGCCCTCTGTGTTCACACCCCTGCAGCCATGGGACTGGGGTCAGTCTCCCTAGACTGTGAGCAATGTAAGAGGAGGAAAGGAGCCTTATTTTTTTCACCTCCCCTTCCTTCCTCCCTCCCTCCCTCCCTCCCTCCCTCCTTCCCTCCCTTCCTTCCCTCCTTCCCTCTCTCCTTTCCTCCCTCTCTCCCTCTTCCTTTCTTTTCCTTTCCCCTGTTTGTTTCTGTTTCTGTTTTGTAGAGATGGGTTTCACCATGTTGTCCAGGCTGGTCTTGAACTCCTGGGCTCAAGTAGTCTTCCCACCTCTGCTTCCCAAAGTGCTGGGATCGCACACATGAGCCACCGCACCTGGCTGGGGAAGCTGTTTCTAATTCACACAATGGCATTGTCTGCTTCCAGGCCATGCATTTGGCCCAGAAGAGTGCCACCTTTTGATTTTCACAAAGGTGCCCATGGGCTAGGGAATGTCTGTCCTACAGATTTGCACTATCTGCTAGATTTAAGCAAGCTAGAAAGAAATGAGGTCTTGTGCTGTCTTCAAATGTGTGTTCCACGTAACACGAGTTCTATAAGATGTTAAACTGTGGTACATTAACAAAGAGTCCTGTGGTCAAGAAATTCTGGTGAACTCTGAGTTAAAATTCGGTAAGTTATTCTGCTGTAGAACTCAGAATCACGACTATGCTAATGTGCGTTGTGAATTTCTAAAAGAGGCCTATATTATGTAGCACTTGTCAAAGGTGTTTGACCAGGGAATACTTTGTTTTCCTCCAAGCTGATCTGGTGCAGCTCATCTGGATGAGAGGTGGACCGGGGAATGCACTCTTAGTTGCTAGTGACAGAAATTCAGCTTGTACCCACTAAGGTGAAAAGGGCAATGCATGCGGCCTCATCATAGAGCCCCCAGATGGCTAGGGCAGAATGAGGCTTTGGCCCCAGCGGGGCTGCTCCCTCTGCCTGGCATCTCAACTTTTCTCTGCCTGCAGGCTCTGCTGTCTCTTGCTGTGGCGGCTTCTTCCACCACAGCTGGAAACGGCTGCAGGTGACTCCTGCACTCACCTTCTATAGAACGCCCCCACCAGAACTGCCCTGGTTCTTCAGGGAATCCCATAGAAGATCCTGGCTTGGCCTGAGTCTCATGTACACTCCAGTGGGCAGGGACATGGGGCACTATGACTGGCATTTTCCATGAGAACCTCAGGGATGGAGGGTATGGATGGAACTGTTCTTAAAAGAAGGCAGACTTCATCCCAGAACGAGGGGTGCGTGTTGTTTGGGGTGGGGGCACAGGGTCACGGCTGGGGAAGCAAAATGAAAGACAGTCACTGCTTTGGGAAATACGGCTTGGGGCTTACAGAAGCCCTTCCCCTTCTTCTGATTTTTATATTACACAAAAATAGCATCATTTAAATGAGGTTTGTTTTTTTTTTTATCTCATTTCTGTCCTATGATTTAAAGTTTTGACTAAGCCTTATATTTTTGCATCCTGGTTTTAAAAAATCAACTAGTCTGTAGGAATATGGTTTATAAAAACAACAACAACAAATCCACTAACCAGTGGACAAGCTTATCCTGGAGTGAAAGAAAAGGTGGCCAACTCTCAGAGGGGTTAGGATCCCAAGTGGTTGGGTCCGGATTTCTAAGGGTTCGTCATTTTCTTCTTCCAGTTAGTTTTTTTCCCTAGGTTTCCAGCTGAATTCTGGTATGTGAAGCCATTGGTGTGGAGGGAGGAAAGTGTGTTTCCATCTCAGGAGTGCCGCAAACAAATTGGACACTTTCAAGTCTTAGTTTAAATGGCTCCACGTCTCCTAGGGATCTAGTGACCCCAAAGTGTGGTAGGTGTCCCCAGTTTTGGTTTTCTACTAAAGCATTCAGTTGGAACTGCTACTGCTTGTTTGACTTTGTTTCTCCCCCACTGGATGAGAGCAGCAGCCACCTTTGCTTTGCTCCCTATATATCCTCAAGGCCTAGCTCAGTGCCACACATAGTAGGTGCTTCGTTGGATGGCAGAGGAAGTGAACGACCTTATCTTGAATGCTGTGGTGGCGGCTCTGGTGATACATGTTTTTCTGTTTTCAGAGACTCCTATCTGATTTCCTTTCCAATTTCTCTTTCTCCTGGCTCAGAGGACTTCATCAGCTCAGACTCCAAGGTCCACACAGCCACCGGGGAACAGTCAGAATATAAAAAGGAAGCAGCAGGACACGCCTGGAAACCCTGACCACAGAGACGCATCCAGGTAGGAGGCCAGCTCTGGAGGACTGATGCAGCCCAAGGCCTGCCCTGCTCATTGCCTGCTCCAGCATTAGCTTTGCCCCATTTGCTTTGGAAACTGGACGCTTAAACCCACGATATTGTCCCCAGTGGTGAGACATTCCAAGCAGTGGTTCACAGACCTCTCTGTGACTGGCTAGGCCTGCATGATTGAAAAGTTCATCCTGATTTCCTGCCCAAAGATGAAATTAGTAATTATGGACTTCCATTCCAGCCACACTCCAGAGTATCTTCATTGTCAGAACTTAAAATGGAAAACATCAAGGGTTCCCAGGGCTTTATCAGTGTCTAATCTGTGGCTAAGTGGAGTCTGTATCCCAGTGTGGTGGCTGTTGCGGGCACTGGACCATGAAACAGAGGACTGAGAACACAATTACCAAAGCCACCCGAGCCCTTCGTCCCAGGGAGGCTGGTGGATGAATCCCAGAAACCAACTGTGGCAGTGGGATGTGGTGGCCCATCAGTCACTGCCTTTTTTTTTGAGATGGAGTCTCATCCAGGCTGGAGTGCAGTGGCACGGTCTCGGCTCACTGCAACCTCTGCCTCCTGGATTCAAGTGATTCTCCTGCTTCAGCCTTCCGAGTAGCTGGGATTACAGGCGTCCGCCAGCATGCCCAGCTATTTTTTGTATTTTTAGTAGAGACGGGATTTCACCATATTGGCCAGGCTGGTCTCTAACTCCTGACCTTAGGTGATCCACCCACCTCAGCTTCCCAAAGTGCTGGATTATAGGCGTGAACCACCATGCCTGGCTGGTCACTGACTCTTGTTAAGAGCCACAGCCAGGCCCTAGGGCTCCCTGCCGGGGCTCTCTCCTGGGCCTCTCCCCTTTTGGCCCCACACTCATAGTTTTAGGGGATGCAAGCAGTAGTCCAGCAGACTCGAGCACCTGGTGTCCAGCATGGACACTGGCCAGGCACGCTGGGGGCACTTAATAACTGCTTGTGGGGGGGCGGTGGCTCAGTGTAATCCAGACTTGGGGCGAGCGGAACGGGTGGATGAGACATCTGGCTGAAGTGAAACCTCTACAAAAATACAAAAACTAGGGCGAGTGGGGCTGTAGTCCCACTCGGGGTGAGAGGAATGGCAGAACCGGAAGGGAGCTTCGTGCTGAGATCGGCCCTCACCCAGCTGGGAGACGAGACTCCGTCTAAAAAAAAAAAAAAAAAAAAACTTGTGGGTTCAACTCACAAACAGGCTGTGAATTTGGTCAGAAAAACCCTAAACAATTGGAACCCAGCTCCCAGGAGTCTATCATGACGGGCCCTAAGGGAAACAAATGAACAGGAACTCTATGGATCAAAAATGCCAAATTGAATGATAGGCCCCTGTCATAGACAATGAAGCTTTGGCTCACATGCTACTTCACAGCTTTGCAAAACCTTGAGACTCAAAGTGACTTTTTTTTTTTTTTTTTGCTTTGGGTAAATAAGAGCAACCCCTGGTGGCAGGAATTTCCATGCCTGGGGCATCGTTTTCTGGGTGGCTTGGGCTATGTGGCTTTCCAGAGGAAGTACTTGGGGCATCTTGGCAGGAGCTTTGGATTTATTTAGGGAAATGGCAATCAGATGGGGCAGAGTGTTTTTTGCTGAGGGAATCAGAATGATGCCTCGAACAGCACCTTTGGTCTGTATTCTCTGCTGAAGATGGTGCCTCCTGTACCTCTCCAGACCCCCGTGGCTGTTCCATTTCCATGAACTTTTCATCAGGGTCACAGGACAAAGGTTTCAGTCTTTGATTCTACTGAGACCTCTAACTTGGCTGTGGATGACTATGGAACTAGTGAATGGATTTGTCTTTTCTGGAATCCCACACAAGTGAAGCCACTCTGGCTAAGGCCCAGGGCCCAGCTCTTCTTTCCCTCTTGGTGAGGTCCCGGGATCTCCTAAGAAGCCTGGGAATTGCTCGAGGCCTGTGTCACAGCTGGACTGAAGAGTAGCAGCAGCTCAAATGTCTTTTCTTGCTTGTTCCCCGGCTTTAGTCGATTATTATTCTTCCCTTGAAGAATTGCCTCTCATTGGCATGCAAATTGAGCATAAAAGAGGTGCCTGTAATCCCAGCACTTTGGCAGGCTGAGGCGGGTGGATCACGAGGTCAGGAGATCCAGACCACCCTGGCCAACATGGTGAAACCCCGTCTCTACTGAAAATACATAAATTAACCAGGTGTGATGGCGTGCGCCTGTAGTCCCAGCTACCCAGGAGGCTGAGGCAGGAGAATCTCTTGACTCGGGAAGGGGAGGTTGCAGTGAGCTGAGATCTCACCATTGCACTCCAGCCTGGGCGACAGAGTGAGACTCCATCTCAAAAAAAAAAAAAAACCAAAAAAAACCGAGGTGCCTTCCAAGAGCACACTCAAAAAAGCAGCTTCCTGTTCGCAATTGAAAACATGATTCTCCTCCATAAATGTGTGTGTGTCTATAGTGCAGGGCCCTGTACTAACTCAGAAATCATCTATTGAGAAGGAACAGGCCCTCCTACTCTGCAAGGGCTGACAGTGAGTCCATCGCTCCTGACTGAGCAGGGCTCCCGTGTGCAGTTTCAGTGAGTTACCTGTCCTTGGTGTCACCAACAAGGATAAAGAGTATTTATCGTTCATTTCGCATATTGGTGCCAGACCCTATGCCAAATGCTCTGTGTGTGCAATAGATCATTGCATTTTTTTTAAAACCTATTCAGTTCTGATCCTGAGTCCTTACTCTGCCGGGCTGGTGGGTGTGCCCAGTGTATTAGTCTGTTTTCACACTGCTGGTAAAGACATACCCAAGACTGGGCAATTTACAAAGAAAAGAGGCTTAATGAAGAACTCACAGTTCTACATGGCTGGGGAAGCCTCCCAATCATGGCAGAAGGCAAGGAGGAGTAAGTCACATCTTATGTGGATGGCAGCGGGCAAAGAGAATAGAGCTTGTGCAGGGAAACTCCTGTTTTTAAAACCATCAGATCTCGTGAGACCCACTCACTATCACAAGAACAGCACAGGAAAGACCTGCCCCCATGATTCAATCACCTCCCCCCAGGTCCCTCCTGCAACACTTGGGAATTCAAGATGAGATTTGGGTGGGGACACAGCCAAACCATATCACCCAGGGCAGCCATCCTTGGGACTCCCCTCTCCAGAGCCTGGTGCATTGAGGCCATCATCCATTCCCTCCCCAACCCCAGAACCTTCCCTGTGATGCCAGTGACCACACTGCCCCTCTGGCCGAGGGACTGTGCTGCTTCTCCGCCACCGTAGGCAGGAGGAAATCTTTGGTGAGGCTTTGGGAGCCCCATGGCCACTTTCTTGAGCAACCTCCCTGCTCATTTCCCCTCTGAACCCGAGGACATGGTCTGGAAGTAGAGAGGGACTCTCAGAGGTTCCCCACTGTTCAGGGCCCTTTCTCTCTACTCTCAGGTGCATTGGCCTTGAGGCATCTGTCCCTTGGCCTCATTGAACAACCAACATTTTCTCTTCAAAGGATGTAAGTTTTTAAAAAAGGTGGGAAGAGCCATTCACCTGCAACTCTCTGTTTTCTACTTGGAAAAACGCTGCAGTGGCCACCTGCTGGGCATGGAGTAAGGGAAGAATATAGGGAGAATGCATAGGTGAATATTTCCAAAGATTGCCCCTCTGCCCAGGCATTATCTCCACTCTACATATGAGGAAACTGAGGCTTGGAGCATGATGTAATCTGCCTTAGAGGTAGAAAGTCCATTGTTTCTCCTCGAGGCTCTTCCCTGTCTCTGAATTATGCTAGAACATGGGTTTTACTCATCCCCAAAGCAGGTAAGTTCTTCAATAGGAAGAATGCGGGGTCCCATCAGTTCAACTGCCTTGCTTTCCGGTTGCCACGTGGTGGCGCTGTTGTAACTTAACCCAGCATAGTTCAACTGCCGGGAGTCTGGGAGTTGCCTCCCTGATGACCATCCCTGCACAGGTCCCTGGGTTCTTGAGGGAGAATGATCCCAGCCTCCTAGGGTGAAGCTCAACCCCAGTAGCATCTCTTTCTGCTCAGTAGTCTCCACACCAGTATAGCTGAGGTACCAGTACAGCTGATGCCCAGTCTGGAGTGGTCCCTGGTCCGCCCTCCTTGGATATCACCAACCAGGGATTGAGCAGCTTTCTCCTTTTAGATCCTTAAGACACAACCAATTTTATCATACAACTTTTTGCCAGATAATGGAGCTATTAATATTAGGTTGTACCAAGGAAATTACCGTTTAGGTAGGTCAAAAATCATTGGACATTGGCCATTTCCTGTGCTTCCATGTCATACTTGCTCCTTCTTCCAAAAAAGGCTAAGGGCAGTGTTTCGAGATGATTGGCTTTTCTCAGGGAGTGAGAATCAGGCAGGGAGTGACCTTCAGTGATTCCTAGCTGAATTCCTGGCGCCTTTGGTTACTGACCACAGTGCTTAGGCTCCCAGGCAATGGTAATTGACACAAGACCAAGCAAATTTTCCAAACAAGGCTTTGTGAGGGGCTTATGTTTGAACACAAGGGAGATAACGCCCGAGCAGAATTCTCCAACTGGCTCCCCGAGGACAGGTCTTTTTGGTGTTTTAAGAAGGGTGGACTGGGCGTGGTCACTCACATCTGTAATCCCAGCACTTTGGGAGGCCGAGGTGGGCGGATTGCCTGAGCTTAGGAGTTTGAGACCAGTCTGGGCAACACAGTGAAACCCTGTCTCTACTAAAATACAAAAATTTAGCTGGGCGTGGTGGCATATGCCTGTAGTCCCAGACCCTCCGGAGGCTGAGGCAGGAGAATTGCTTGAACCTGGGAGGTGGAGGTTGCAGTGAGCTGAGATCGCACCACTGCACTCCAGCCTGGGTGACAGAGCCAGACTCTGTCTCCAAAAAAAAAAAAAAAAAAAAAGGTGACATGGCATGAATAAGCATGAGGTATGGGAACGTCGTTACATGTGTGGGGTAAAGCACAGGGTGCACAGGCACAGTGAAAGAACGTATTAGGTCATGTATTGCATGATCAAAAAATGGCAGATATGGAGCCATAAAAAAGAACGAGATCATGTCTTTTGCAGGGACATGGATGGAGCTGGAGGCCATTATCCTTAGTAAACTAACACAGGAACAGAAAACCAAACACTGCATGTTCTCACTTATAAGTGGGAGCTAACTGATGAGAACACATGGACACATAGAGGGGAACAACACATACTGGGGCCTATTGGAGGGAGGAGAGACAGGATCAGGAAAAATAACTAACGGGTACTAGGCTTAAAACCTGGGTGATGAAATAATCTGTACAACACACCCCCATGACACGAGTTCACCTATGTAACAAACCTGCATTTGTGCCCTTGAACTTAAAATAAAAGTTTATAAAACAAAACCCCAAAAATGGCAGATAAGCCCCATCTGGGTGGGAATTTTAGTATTATAATGAGCCAATGGGTGAAGATGGGTGATTCTTCTGGACTTGTGCATATGCGGACAATAGAGTTAATTCCCTTGAGTAAGATGATGGTGGAATGCTGCTAACCTTAGCTTCTTCAAGGTCTCTTGGACAGCGGGGATGGCACCAGATGGGGTATGCAAGGTCTGGTAGAGTCCTGGTAGGGGCCAAGTCTCGTCCATACCCTGTCTCACTTTGTCACTGAATGAAGGAGAGTGGAGTTTTAGCTGTTATCTGATGGTTCTCAAACTTGAGTGGGCACCAAGATCACCTGTAAGGCTGATAAAGACACAGATTGCTAGGCCTCGCCTCCAGAGAGTCTGATACAGCAGGTCTGTGGTGAGGCCTGGGAAGGGGCATTTCTTTTCCTTTTTCTTTTTTTGAGACGGAGTTTCGCTCTTGTCGCCCAGGCTGGAGCACAATGGTGTGATCTCAGCTCACTGCGACCTCTGCCTCCTGGATTCTAGCAATTCTCCTGCCTCAGCCTCCCAAGTAGCTGGGATTACAGCTGCTTACCACCATGCCTAGCTAATTTTTGTATTTTTAGTAGAGACAGGGTTTCACCATGTTGGCCAGGCTGGTCTTGAACTCCTGACCTCAAGTGATCCACCTGCCTAGGCCTCCCAAAATGCTGAGATTACAGGTGTGAGCCACTGCGCCCAGGCGGGAAGGAGCATTTCCAACAAGTTCCCAGGTATTAGTGCTGCTGGTCCAGGGACCACACAATGAAGACTGCTCCTTTCTGCCACGCAGCTGTGTGACCACCTCAGCCCAGTGCTGTTGGGGCTCAGAAGAAGCCTTCCCTGAGAGCTGGAGTGGACAAGGAGGGTCTCCTGGCAGGGGTGGAGGGAGCTAGAGTGAAAAGGGCAGGCTCTAGAGGTCATTCCAGGTAGGGGCAGAATTCCTGAACTGGACCTCTTTAGGGCTGAGCAGGAAGTGAGTGCAGACCGAGGTGGTGACGTTCACTGAAAACAAGATATGAAGAGTGGCGCCACGTTGAGGAGAATCTGTCAGTCAGGTGAGAGTTGAGATTTTATCCTGAAGTTAACAGGAAGCTAAGGAAGTGCTTTGTGGTTTGTATGCTTTTAGACAAGGGCTGGGCACAGTGACTCACACCTTTAATCCCAGCACTTTGGGAGGCCAAGGCGGGTGGATCACGTGAGGTCAAGAGTTTGAGACCAGCCAGGTCAACCAGGTGAAACTCTGTCTCTACTAAAAATACAAAAATTAGCCGGGCGTGGTGGCACGCACCTGTAGTCCCAGCTACTGGAGAGGCTAAGGCAGGAGAATACCTTGAACCTGGGAGGCAGATGTTGCAGTGAGCTGAGATCATGCCACTGCACTTCAGCTGGGCGACAAGAGTGAGACTGTGTCTCAAAAATAAAATAAAATAAAATTAAAAATAAAACAAAATAAAATAAACAAGGGCTTATGCATACCAGGAAAGTGTTCCAAAGATAAAGGTAGGGGCACTGACTGGTGCACTGGAGGGGTAGAGGCTGGAAGGGGCGCTAGGGGATATTCTTGCAGTAGAGGAATAGTGGCTGGAAGGAATCCCAAGGGGGAACCCACAGAACCCGGTGACTACCTGGGTGTGGGCAGAAGAGGTGGAGTCAAAGAAAAGGAAAATCCTAAGCCCTCCATCTGGCTGAACAGACTCCCTCTCGGCCAAAGGGATCCTAAAGAAGCCTTAAAAACTAAGTTTGGTCGGGGGCGGTGGTTCACGCCTGTAATCCAGCACTTTGAGAGGCCGAGGCAGGCAGATCACCTGAGGTTGGGAGTTCAAGACCAGCCTGACCAATATAGAGAAACACTGTCTCTACTAAAAAAATAATAATAATAAAAAAAATAAAAAATTAGCCGGGTGTGGTGGCAGGTGCCTGTAATCCCAGCTACTTGGGAGGCTGAGGCAGGAGAATCTCTTGAACCCAGGAGGTGGAGGTTGGGGTGAGCCAAGATCACGCTATTGCACTCCAGCCTGGGCAACAAGAGTGAAACTCCGTTTCAAAACAAAACAAAACAACAACAACAACAACAACAACAACAAAAAACTGAGTTTGGAACCCTGACAGGATGGAGGTCAGACAGCCTTCCCATACCCGCTCCTGACAGGATGGAGGTCAGACAGCGTTCCCATCAACAACAACAACAACAACAAAAAACTGAGTTTGGAACCCTGACAGGATGGAGGTCAGACAGCCTTCCCATACCCGCTCCTGACAGGATGGAGGTCAGACAGCGTTCCCATACCTGCTCCTGACAGGATGGAGGTCAGACAGCCTTCCCATACCCGCTCCTGACAGGATGGAGGTCAGATAGCCTTCCCATACCCGCTCCTGACAGGATGGAGGTCAGACAGCCTTCCCATACCCGCTCACTCACTAGCCGATGTTAGACTTCCTTTCCTAAGGGTTCAACAGAAACTAGCAAACCAGCCCTTTTGAAAGACTTGTTCCACCACTGGTTTCAACCAGATCTCCTTCCCTTTTTTGGTTTCGACACAACAGTTGACCAGCATTCCTTCCACATAAGAGACCACCCGCCATGGAGTGGTTCGGCTCCCTGAGTGCCTTCACGCCCTCTGTGTCACCTTTTAATGTATAGAGCCTAATTTTAATGCATTTAAATGTTGTCTCCACCTCAAAGTAAGCATGGGGTGTAACATGTCTGTTTGCTTACTATGAATGCACGCCCCTCTTCATGAATACTCATAGCTCCTCCTATAATCTGTTGAATGTGTCTACTTAGACAGCCTGTTCAGCATAAATTCTTGTCTAAAGCTTCCCTACCTCGAGTGCCTGCTTCGGCTTCTGCTGCAAAGTGCGAAAGCGCTTCCGTCACTTCCCAGCCTGAGGGATGGATGGCCAGCCTGCAGGCTGCAACCCTTTATTATTTATTTATTTATTTAGAGACAGAGTCTCACTATGCCGCTAGACTGGAGTGTGGTGGCGCGACCTTGGCTCACTGCAACCTCCACCTCCCGGGTTCAAGCGATTCTCCTGCCTCAGCCTCTCAAGTAGCTGGGACTACAGGTGCGTGGCACCATGCCCAGCTAATTTTTGTATTTTTAGTAAAGACGGGGTTTCACCATGTTGGCCAGGATAGTCTTGATCTCTTGACCTTGTGATCCACCTGCCTTGGCCTCCCAAAGTGCTGGGATTTACAGGCATGAGCCACCGTGCCCGGCCAGCTGCAACTCTTTATAAGAAATAAGCTTTCCTCCCCAAGTTTATGAACCTCATGATTCTTCAATTGACAAGAAGATGCTAAGGTTCTGGACCAAGAACCCAAAATAAAGATCCAACATTAAACACTGGGAGATGTAAAGCGAGAGCTAGGCCATGCATGAGCCACTGTGCCCAGCCCCGTCTGTTTTTTTTTTGTTGTTGTTGTTGTTGTTGTTCTTTTGTTTTTTGAGA